AGGCCGAGGTAAGAGGATTGCCTGAGCTCACGGGTTCGAGACCAGCCTGGGCAACTTGGCAAAACCTCATCTCTACAATAAATCAAAAAATTGGCTGGGTGTGGTGGCGCCTGTCTGTAGTTCCAGCTACTTGGAAGGCTGAGGCAGAAGGATCACTTGAGCCTAGGTCGAGGCTGCGGTGGCCATGAGTGTACCAGTGCACTCCAGCCTGGGCAACAGAGTGACTCCGACTCAAAACAAAAAAAATTAGCGGGGCATGGTGGCACATGTCTACCCAGCTACTGAGGAGGCTGAGGCAGGAGGATTGCTTAAGGCCAGGAGTTGGAGCCTGCAGTGAGCTATGATTACACTTCTGGACTCCAGCCTGGGTGACAGAGCAAGACCTTCTAAGTTATTTTTAAAATAATGTTTAAAGAAATTAATTCTAACAATATATTTTACTTAATGCAATATATTCAAAGTACTTCATTGCTCCATGAAAATTGTTGATGAGGTAATTTACATTATTTTTTGGACTATAAGTACATCTCAATTCCGACTCCCCGCTTTTCCTTTTTTTTTTTAAGATTAGAAAATACTGTTTATTTAGAAAGTAAATTAGGAAGAGAGTGAGAGAGAAAAAGAGGAGATTCACCTCCCGAAGGTAGAAAAGAGGCCAATGCCAGGAAGCATGGCGATAGCCATAGCTCAAAAAGCACCTGGCTACACCAGAGTCTAGTAAGGCAATGGTGGTGGCAATGACCCCAACTCCCCACTTTTCATGAGCTCGATCGCCACATGTGGCCAGTGACTAATATGTTGGACAGCACAGTGTAGAGAGTAGTAGGACCAGAGAGATGTTACTCTCCTTTTTAATTATTTTCCTCACCTCTAGACGGATGAATTGCAGCTGCTTTAGTAAATAAATCATGCCAGATGTGGTGGTGCATGACTGTAGTCCCAGCTACCAAAAAAAAAAAAAGAACAAACAACACCAAAAAAGAAATGAATGCTTGCTTCACTGGTTCTCAAAGTTTGCAGTCTCAGGATCACCTTTGTGTGCTTAAAAATTATTGAGAGCTTTTGTTTATGTAGATATATAAATATATCTAACTATATTTGTTCTAGTAGAAATTGAAAAATAATTTTTGTCTTCTTAAATTGAGGTATACAGGCAGATCACATTTTATTCACAGCTATTGCATTTTTTACAAATTGAAGGCTTGTGACAACCCTGACAGATCAACTATATCAATAGCATTTTTCAACAGCAAAAGATTCTGTCTCTGTGCTACGTTTTGGTAATTCTCACAATATTTTAAACTTTTTCGTTATGATCATATCTGTTATGATGATCTGTGATCAGTGATCTTTGATGTTACTACTGTAATTGTTTTGGCATGCCACCCTCTGCCCATATAAGAGGGCAAACTTAATAGATAACTGTTGTATGTGTATGCGTGTATGTGTTTTAAAAGTTGGAGTCTGTCTCACTCTGTCACCCAGGCTGGAGTGCAGTGGCACGCTCACAGCCATTGCAGCCTCAACTTCCTGAGCTTGGGTGATCCTTCCGCCTCAGTCTTCCAGATAGTTGGAACCATAGGCATATGCCACCATGCCCAGCTAATTTTTTTTTATTTATTGTAGAGACAAGGTCTCACCAAGTTGCCCAGGCTGGTCTCAAACCCTTGGGCTCAGGCAAGCCTCTCGCCTCCACCTCCCAAAGTGCTGGGATTACAGATGTGAGCCACTGTGCCTGGCGTGTGTGTTTTGACTGCTCCACTGACCAGCCGTTTCCCCCATCTCTGTCTTTCTCTAGCCTCACTATTCCCTGAAACACAGCAATATTGAAATTAGGCCAATCAGTAACCCTTCCATGGCTTCTAGTGTTCTAGTGAAAGAAAGAATTGCACGTCTCTCACTTTAAATCAAAAACTAGAAATGACTAAGTTTAGTGAGGAAGGCATGTCAAAAACTGAGACAGACTGAAAGCTAGGCCAGCTAGCCAAGTTGTGAATGCAAAAGAAAAGTTTTTCGAGGAAATTAAATGCATGACTCCAGTGATCACATGAATGATAAGAAAGCAAAACAGCTTTATTGCTGATTTGGAGAAAGTTTCAGTGAATAAAATATCAAACCAACCACCACATTCCCTTAAGCCTAATCCACAGCAAGGCCTTCAACACTGAGACAAGACTCTCCACCAACAAAAAGATTATGACTTGCTGAAGGCTCAGATGATTGCTAGCGTTTTTAGCAATAAAGTTTTTTTTTTTTTTTTTTTGAATTGGAGTCTTACTCTGTTGCCCAGGCTGGAGTGCAGTGGCACTCTCACAGCCACCATAGCCTCGACCTTCTGGGCGCAGGAGATCCTTCTGCCTCAGCCTTCCAAGTAGTTGGAACTATAGGCACGTGCCACCACACCCAACTAATTTTTTGATTTATTGTAGAGATGAGGTCTTGCCAAGTTGCCCAGGCTGGTCTTGAACCCTGGGCTCATGTTGTTGCGGGAAAACAAATCAGAGAGACTGTGACACCAAGGCTGATAAGCAGGAAGCTGTGTTTATTACTAGATGCCAGCGTTCGGCCTAGCGGACTCCAGTTGCAAAGGTTGGGCCCTGATCGCAGTTGGGTCTCAGTTTATATAGGTTTTACATTGACTTTGCAGGGAAGGGACTTTTTATGGTGTAAGGTTTTGTACTTTTGTAACAATAGCACAAGCTTGAGGTTTGGCTGGAGGCACTGAGCACGGTGTTACAGGAAGGGGCTTGTGATTTTAGCTGCAGGTACTGAGCATGGCGTTTTGCATTAGCAAACTTGAACATTTTAATTGTGATATATGTTTTGAAGCGTTTTTTAAAAGTCCCTTACCACAAGGCAATTCTCTTGTCTCTGCCTCCCAAAGTGCTGGGATTACAGGCATGAGCCACTGTGCCCAGCAATAAAGTATGTTTTAAATTAAGGGGTATGTACATTGATTTAAAAAAAAAAATATATATATATATAAAAAATGTTATCGCACACTTACTATACTACAGTGTAGTATAAGTGTAACTTTTACACTTACTGGAGAAGCAAAAACTTCGCACTTAATTGCAGTATCTGCCTCATTGCAGTGGTCTGAAACTAAACCTGCAATGTCTCTGAGTATGCCTGTAATTTTTACACAGTAAAATTCACTGACTTTAGAGTACAGTTCTATATGTTTTGACAAATGTACACAATCATGTAATCACCACTGCTCCTATATGACCCCCTGGCCCTTTTAATCACCCCCTCCACCAACCTCCAACCCCTGGCAACTACTGATTCAAACTGAGAAATGTTTAAAACCTGAGACTACTGAGGAAAACATTCTATAGAAGTCAGAGCCGTGATTTAGTCACTCATTGTGTGACCTCTGAAAAACTCCAGCATGCACTGATGTGTAAGTGAGAGTGTGAATGTCTTCATACTACTATGAAAAGTTTTGATCTCAGTAACTCCCTGAAAGGGTCTGAGTACCCTTAGAGAGCTTGCAGACTACACCGACAACCACCACTTTAGCCAGCTAAAAATACCCACCATTCCCATCAGCAAATCTCAGGGCTCAACAGGCTAAACTATTTTAAATAATTGGCATTTACAAGGCCCAGTGCAGTACACACATCTGTAATCCCAGCACTTTGGGAGGCTGATAGAAGGATCACTTGAAGCCAGGAATTCAAGACCAGCCTGAGCAACATAGCAAGACCTTGTTTCCACAAAAAATAAAAAACATTAGCCGGGCCTAGTGGCACATGCCTGTAACCCCATTTACCCGTGAGCTTGAGGTAGAAGGATTGCCTGAGCCCAGGAGGTCAAAGCTACAGTAAGCTGTGGTCATGATGCC